GGTCGTTTCGTTGAAGCCTTGGAGGTTGGATCCCACGTACGGGGTCAAATGGCTCTCGTTCAGCTGCAGGGTGGTGAATATATGGGCGTACATAATGTTCACCGAACTTCCTTGGTCGACCAGGATTCGGCGGACATCGAAGTTCACCATCTGTGCTCTGATGAGGAAGGGAATACTGGCATTGGGTGCCCCTCCGGGAAGCTCCTCGAGGTAAAATGTGATCGAGTTCGATTGCCCTTTGAACCTGTCGAGGGTAGCGTTTGTCTTCAAGCTCTTGTTAATTAGCTCCTCGAATTTTCTCTTGACCGACCCGGCCGACAGTTAGATGGGCCCCCCCACCGGATATCACCATTCTGGTCGGGAAGTCCTCCCATGGGCTGAGGGCAGTCAGCGGTCTGGCGGGCTCGCTGAAGAAGAAATCCTCTGGTCAGGAGATGCATATGGCCACCTGCAGTCCCGCTTCGTCAGAGGCGGTTGACGCTTCTTCGACCTTCTTCGCCTCGCGAGTCTCAGGTCGGGGGGCTTCTCCTCTCCGGGTGTATTGCTCCAGATGCCCTTCTTTGATTAAAAACTCGATTGTATCTTTGAGGTGAATGCAATCTTCCGTCATGTGTCCATGGCTCTGGTGGAACCGGCAATATTTGGACTTGTCCGCGTTGGGCTTCGGGGCTGTCGGTTTTGGGAATCGGATACCTCCCCTCTGAAAGTCCGAATTGATACATTCAGCCAGGATGCGCTCACAGGGAGTTGTGAGTAGCATGTACTCAGTAAACCGACCTATTGGCCCCCTCTTCTCGCGGGGGCGATCTTCGCACCTTCTCTCTTCGTTTCTTCGAGGAGGAGCAGGAGGGGTTTCTCCACGCCTCGCGCCTTTGGGGGATTTCTGGTTACGCCTGGCCTGGGCGGTGTTTGCAGCCTCTATCTCCTCATACTCGATGTGTGATTGAGCCATATGGAGAAAGGCGTTCAAAGTAAGGGGACGCGCGAGGCCGACAGCTTTGGTGAAGTTAGAGTGTGACCTTATGCCCCTCTGGATCAGGAGTTTTTTCATGTCGTCCGTCTTGGACACTTAGATAACCTCGCGATTGAACCTCTTAATGTAATCTCTAAGAGGCTCGTTTTTCCCCTGGATAATGGCCTCCAGGGCCGCCTCTGTCTTCGGATGGTGTCGAGACGTTATGAAGTGCCTGGAGAATTGGCGCTTCAGTTTTCCCCATGAGGCGATGAAGTCAGGAGCAAGGAGTTTGTACCACGCCATGGCCCTTTTCCTCAAGGTGGTGGGAACAGTCTACACTTGATGGCTCCCCGAACATTTCTGTAGTCCAGCATTGTGTCTATGCTTTCGATGTGGTCGTCCGGGTCGGTCGTCCCATTGCAGGTCTCCAAGATCGGGGGGTTTTCCATCCCGATGGGTAATGGCGCTTCCCTGATGGCTCTGCACAGTGGTGAGCGTCGGGTATCTTCGTCGCTCTGGACGGGTGATGGCGAAAGGGAGGCTGAGTCTAGGTGGTTTCTGCGTCGGCGTGGATTATTTGGCCGGGCCCTTGGTATGGAGGAGGTTGCAACGACTTTGGTCTTCTTCTGAGTCGGGGAGCGTCGCTCCTCTCGAGGAGGTGACCTATCCCTCTTGTAAGAAACCGTCGGCTGGAGTCGCTCCATCCGGGGGCGGCACCCTTCCGGTCGGAGAGATGGGCTCCTGAAATTTTCAACGTATCGTGTCTTCCGTGGGGGAGGAGAGGGACTGATGGAAGCCTGGAGACGGTGTCTCTGCGAGGGAGAGACGATGACCGAGGACCATCGATGGTGTCTCTGTGGGGGAGGAAAAGGATGGTTGTTCCCTCTTGAGCATCCCTATCTATTCGTTCTGCCCGAAGATCATTAAGTTGGTTTGATTGATCGCCGCGAACAGAGTCATGATGGTAGGGTCGGCGCCCGCCGAAACTGGAATGGGCTGGTAGACAGTCGGGCTGTCAAAGCGTTGGGCGACGTTGAAGGTCGCGTCCTTAGAGGATGGGGAGGCGGTGCATCCGTCTCTCTAGTGATCTTCTTCATTGTGGGCGGTAGCGTTGGGGTCGCGGCCGTCCCCGTAGGAAAAGGGGGTAAAGGCGGATCGCAATGCATTGTCGTTACGTGGACTGGCCATGATTGAGATGAAAATGTTGGGAGTTACTTTGGTCCCTAGGCTGCTATGCTGAGATAGGAGAAGGGGCGGAGAAGCAAAAGTTCCCATAGACGACGCCACTGATCTCACCTAATCAGAAAGAATCAATGGTCTGTCACGCGTCATTGGCTTGTTGTTTTCACCGAAGTTATAGAGAGAAATGAGGTGTACCTATAAGGCACTCTGATGATTAACTGAGTAAAGGATTAGAGAGAAAGCAAGCACAAAGATTAGGTGTGAAGAAGAAGTTACCTGACCCTCTAGTGAAAGAGGGTATTTATAGTGTGCCCCCAGCGCAGGGCCAACAATTACATTGTATTGGGGCAGACTGCCAGACCCAACCCAAGTAATTGTCAGGACTTACGTGGCGTAGTGAAGACCAGCATGTGGTCTTCGCCTTGGATCAACTATCCCTTGATCTTCGGAAGGTGGGTTGACCAACTCTTTCGGAGGTGGATAGTTGTCTGATGACGTGTCCCTGTGTGGGGGAGCACGTGGAGGACGTGGGGGAAACGCGTGAGCCTCCCCGTCAAAGGAGTCGTATGCCCGACATATATGCCTTGTTGAGGCTCGTGCCTGACAGAAGGGGATTGGGTCTTGTTGGACCTCATCAGCATATTGTTGAGTTGGGCCTGCCTGGCTTAGGAGCAGGTCCTGGCCCAGTTCAGAACAATATATATATATATATATATATATATATATATATATATATATATATATATATATATATATATATATATATATATATATATATATATATATATATATATATATATATATATATATATATATATATATATATATATATATATATATATATATATATATATATATATATATATATATATATATATATATATATATCAACTTTCGATATAACGATATATTGATGACTATACATTTAAAGTTTTTTCTAATAATTTCTCTTATATTATTATTATTATTATTATTATTATTATTATTATTATTATTATTATTATTATTATTATATTTGTATCTATAAATTGACATGTTTTTGTTTTTCGTCATTTTTTTTAATAAAATTTTTAAATATCGAATTTCATTTGCTTTTAGTTTTTAAATTAAAATCTGCTGATTTTTTTGAGGATTTTTCTAAAAATTTTCATGCAGATTTTAGTTTTATAGACTAAAAGCAAAATAATTTTAACATTTAGAGATTATTTTTAAATATATATATATAAAGATAAAAATAAAAAATATCAAAAGACTATTTAAACCTTATTATAATTATTATATACATTTAGAAGGACTATTTAAACCTTATTATAATTATTATAATTATTATAGCATTCAGAAGTATTACAAAAATAGTCCCCCCCCCCCCCCCCCCCCCCCCCCCATTTACAATCCGTCTATGTGAAGAGAGAGAGGTAAGATGAAGTAAAGGAATCATCATCCTTCACAACCTAAATATTTTAATAAGAGATAACTTATTTTTTAGATTTATAATTATTCAATAAATTTTTTTTAGGTTTATAATTATTCAATAAACTTAAACTTCTTTTTTATAATTTTTTTAATAAGAGACAAATTATTTTTTAGATTTATAATTATTCAATAAACTTTTTTTAAATTTATAATTATTTAATAAACTTAAACTTAAATACATTGATTTCAATAACAAAGAAGGGAGATAATAAATAACAGTTGGATTTAGAATCAATTGCCCCTTTATTCATATTGCTAATTTGTTGTGCCTTAATTGCATTGCTACCACCATAGTGAAACCGTTGCAATTCAAACTAATTCTGCCAAATAACCATCAAATACCCTCTTACATTTTGAACATTGACATAAAGTATAAACTACCACATATGATTCAACGCATCTACTATCCATCGCATCCTCGAGAGCTGCAGATTTTAGAGTATCTATGTTAAAGAATTGAGTGAGATTTTTGTATAGATTGTACTGAAATTTAAATAGTTTCATTTCATACTCTTAATTGTCGCATACAATATTGGAGTCCTAGATGTGTTTTTTATACTATATTTGTTTGAAAAGTTCTCTTGAAAGTTGGACAAAGTAAATATTTAATTAGAATAAGGAATCTGATGGCAGAAGATACTACAATTGCCTCTTTTTAAAAAGGCCACATAAATTCGAACTACTTGTTTCCCTCCAACAAGTATTATCCCCATTATTATAAACAAGGACCAATCACAACCTTTCTTTAAAGCAAGGACCATCATGACAGCAGTATGCAAAATTTGCAGATACCAGCATGCCAGTAATAAAATTATTGTTACCATGTTCTTATTATCATTTTTGGTTACAGTTACTATAATCTTACTGCATATATGAACATTGTCTGAGTGCATCACCCGTGAAAACCAATATTATCAATAGGTAAGGTTGTGACAATCCTCAGCGACATATATATATATATATATATATATATATATATATATATATATATATATACACACACACAGCATTATCCACCATTTGTGTCCGAAAATTCTGTATTCAAATTCACAGAATGCCAGAAATATTCTGTATTAAACAGTTTTCTATTTGTTACTGTATCACTTAATTGAATCAAAATGTATTAAACAGTTCTACTTCCAATCATCTTGAAACATAGTATTAGACATCAAACACATGTTAAAACCATATAGCATATGGTTCATTTTATTATAGTTAGCTACCACATTTCCTCAAGTTTCCATCTATCAATATAGACTAAGCAAAGATCAAGATGTTAAAACAAAAGTAATTAATCCGATGATAAAGATCCAGATTGTTTGGCTAAAAACCAAGGTATATCTTGATCCTATTACAAAAACTAATCTAATAAAATAAAAAGTACAACATTTCAGCGACCTTTAGCCAAATAGGCGGTCAATCCGGCGGCAAAAATTGCAGCAGCAGAGGATATCCCTGTCCATAAATGCTTACCTTTATGTGCATCAGACACAGACTTCTGCAGTGATACAACTTGTTGCTTCATCTGATCCACATATTCATTCTTAACTTCAAATGCTTTCTTTATCGCCTCCAGTTCTTCAGCAAAAGACTGAATTTCTTCTTTCTCGTGTTTCTTCTTCCCTCCGCGAGGAATCACTTCCACGCTTTCCTTAACCACAACTGCAGCAGCAGTATTCTTCAACAATTCCAAGGCCTGCTTCGAGTTGATGCAGGACGAGTCAAATTTAGCTCTCAATTCATCGCGTTCTCGTTGAGCTGCGACAAGGCTACTATGTGTAGCATCCTTTTCCTTAATCAAAACATCTACTTGGCCTCCCAGCACCTTGTTCCTCTCATTCATCTTCTGTTTCTCACTTCTTAACTTGGCCAAATCAGCTTCAGCATTTCCCATTTTTTCCTTCAGTCCTACAACTTGCAACTCCAAAATCTCCAGGTTCTTCTTTTCCTTTTCATAACCCTTCTTGATGGTATCTTTCTCAAGTTTCAACTCAGCAACTTGCAACTCCAAATTCCCCACTTTGGTTTTCTCCTCATCATATCCCTTTATGATGTTATCCCTCTCAAGCACCACTTCATCAACGGCATTCTTAGAATATTGTACTTGAGCGAGTAATAGCTCAATCTTTTTCTCCGTTGCCACAACTTGTGACTCCAAATTCTTTACTTTATTTAGCTCCTCATCATATCCCTTTTTGATGTTATCCCTCTCAAGCACCACTTCATCAACAGCTTTCTTATAGGCTTGAACTTGAGAAAGTAATTGCTCAATTTTTTCCTGCATTACCACAACTTGTGACTCAAAACTCTCAACTTTGTTTTTCTCTTCTTCAAGCTTCTTCAAATTGAGTTCATTCAAAGACTCCATCTCTTTGATAACATTCCTATAATGATGAACTTGAGACAGTAATCCACTGTTTTTCTCTTCAAACTCTTTAGAAGACATTTTCAACTCATCAGCAACACCCCTCAGTCGTTTCACTTCACTTTGCAACTCAATAATTTCATTCTCACCACTAACTTTAACCTTCTCAATCTCATCTCTCGCTCTATTCGCTTCATCAACCTCACGCTGCCTATTCTCCAACTCTCTCTGAACCACGTCAAGTTTCCTAAAAGCACCATCTCTTGCCTCAGTTAAAATCTCAATACTCTTCTCTATCTCCTTCCTCTCTCCAACCAGATTGCTATTTTCCACCCTCATTTCCCTCTCCTTCTCCACAGCAAGCCCAATAGTTTCCTCCATTTCACGAACCGTACCACACATCAGCTCCAATTCTTTCCGCGAGTTTTTCAAAAGGTCACTGTGCTGCTGCAGCTCACGTTCAAGGTCAAAGATCTTTGTCCCCTTAGTACTATTCACATTCTCAATCTCATTCTTCTCCTTTACCAACAAATCAATCTTCTCCTTCAACTCATCAATTACCTTCTCCGATTCAACCGACTTCTTCACAGCCAAATCTTTATCTTTTTCAAGCTCTTCAACCCTACTTTCTCTCTCGAGTTTTTCCTCCAACAGATGCCCGGCTTCCAACCTAATCTTCTCCACATTCCGCTTCTCGTTCTTGAGACTCAACACAAGGTCATTCACCTTCTCCTTCTGAAGATCCACCTCATACTTGGTCTCATCCCTCTCCTCAACAACCTTATCAAAACGAAACCCTAATTCAGCAATGTGCGCCCTAGCAAAAACGAAAAAGACAGAGTTTTCAATCTCCAATGCAAAACTTTCCTCGGAGATTTGAGCTTCGGCTTCCATGGCGGCCTGGTTTGAATGGAGAAGCGACTGAATGCGGTTTCTGTGGTCGGTGGTTTCTTTGAGAAGAACGGTGTTAAGGTTCTTGAGATTCTGAATCTGAACAGAAGAGCCATCAATGGTGGTTGGTGGTGGGGTTAATGTCTTGTGGTCGAGAGATTGAGATTGGGCATGGGTAACTTTCTTTTTGGCCATATCTGAGTGTTTGGGAGTGATTGAAAGATGGGGATTAGGGTTTTGGTTTGTTTCCAAATTTCTAGGGTATCTTTTTTCTATGGAGTAGAATGAATGAATGTTGAAGCGGTTATGGATATGGAATAGATATAGATTAGTACTGTGGCTTTGAATGTTGTGGTGTTATTTAAATTTCAAATTTTAGGGCCCAAACCCTAATGCCAATAGCGATGTTTATATAGTAGTGCTACTAGTAAAGAGCGATGTGTTTTTTGTTTTTGTTTGTTAGTTTCAAGTTTCAAACATGAGTGGGATGCGATTCGCATAGCTTGCTTTTGTTGCTCACGTGACATTGCAATGCTTATATACGGCCAACGGTTATTTTCTTTTTTTCGATAACATATATTTAATTGATTAATATAAGTGTTAATACTTTTGTATATTGTTATTTGGAGCGAATTTAAAAAAGAATTTGTAAAAAAATAGATTATGTTCTTGTTATTTAAATATTCTCCTCTTTTAGATTTTAAAGTGGATCTAATCAACTAAAATATGACGTGATAATAATAGCGTGATCTTTTTTCTGTTCACTTAAGTAATAACTGTATTTTAAACTCTTAATAATAATGTTAATTTATGGTATTGCTTAATAGATTAATTACATTTATTAATTAATAAAGCTAACAATGTAAAATTAAATAAGATAAATCATCTTCTTCATTTCTTATTTTTTGTTTGCAGCTAAGGTTCAAAACTTTCCTCTTCTTTAAACTTCAGTTCGTATCTCCATTGATCTGAGACTATGATTGGAAGCGTGAGTTCAAGATACATGTTCAGTGGGAGAAAAGCACTGGTTTGTGGGCACGAGAATCCACGTTTCGAAATCAAGCTCAAAGTCAAGAAGAAGATATTGGAAGTGCTGGGGAGAGGGTTGTTAAATTTTCTTCATATCCTTTGTTCATATTTATTTGCTTGTTCATTTGTTTGCTGAGTTCCATCTCTTCTCTTATTTTTCTAAAACGATGATGATTGTCATCTATTTCATTGGGATGATGAACTGTTTCAAGAAAAACAAGTTGAACCAAGATACGATGGAGGTTGCTTTAAATGTCAAAACATGAAAGTGGATATGAGAAAATATGGAGTTGAGTTTGAGAAAGAGTTCGGTCATGAGTTTGGAAAGGAATTTAAGAACAAGAAGATTAAGAAACTAAAGTTGAAAGCTGTAAAAGATCACAAGACTATTCAAACACTCACTTACATTCTTATTGCATCTTGATTAGTTTTTGCTATAATGTTTTGTAATAGGTAGAATATTTTGTAATAAGTAGAATATTTTGTAACCGATTTTAACTATAGATGTATGCATGCAATCCCTTGTAATGAGATCAATGAGATCCCTTGTAATTTATGACTCTTGAATGAAATGAAAAATATGTGTTTGGTTTAATATCAGTTTGCGATATCTGTTTGGTTCAGTATCTTGTATGTAATATGTATTTGGTACAATACCAGTCTACATGTTTGGTTTGGTAAACGTCATAATGTACTTATAAGATAGAAACAAATATGAGATTGAATCAAAGCAATGCTTCAAAATAGACTTAATAAACTTGCAATATCAAATTTCAAAATAATCAAGGTACATGATACTCAATATCAGTCTTCTAAATAGATTTGCAATTTCAGTCTGCATTAACATCAGATTCCAAAATAATCAAGGTGCATAACATTCAATATCATTCTTCAAAATAGACTTGCAATTTCAGTCTGCATTGACATCAGATTCCAAAATAATCAAGGTACATAATACTCAATATCAGTATTCAAAATAGACTTACAACTTCAGACTGCATTAACATCATATTGATGGTACATAAGAATCCCAAAAAGACTTATAATGCTAGTCATGCATCAATATGAGTCTGCATTAACATCAACTTAAGCACACAAGTGGCATTACAAACATGAAAAATAAGGTTCAACCTAAGCACATTATGTGCATTACAAACATAATAATAAAATTCAAACTACAAACATTAAGCATATTTCTTCTTTTTGGTAGACACGAATTTCTTCTTGTAGGTCACCCTTTGTTTCTTTTATGGAGACTTGGTAGCAGCAACAACTTCAGTAGTGTCAGGGGTTGGATTCACAATCTGAGAGGATTGATATTTAGCCTTAACTGAGGCTACTATTGCTTTAATTGATGCGTCAAATTCACCATGAAAATAGTCCATTATAGGCTCATCCACTTTTCCTAGGTGTTTTTCTCTAAGACACCAAAATACAAACATCATAAGTTTTGTAGTACTTAACAAACATGAAACAAAAGACAAACAAAAAGAAAGATAAATCTTTCTCTTTAATGTCGTAGGGTTTTGTTCTGTACTCTGATTTTTTCTTGATTTATGACCAATCTTGTCACACTTAGTGCACCTGTAACTAACACCAGGTCTTCTCATTCTAGAAACATTTTCATCAAGTTCCCTAAACCTAAGTTTCCTAGGTCTACCTGGACCTTTCTTAAATGATGGTGGAAGCATATCCTCAACATCTACCTTGGGCCACATATCCATGCCATTAGTAGGACTCACATTGTATGAATAACACTTACTATATGTTTCCCTACTATAGTAGTCATCTACATAATGTTTTGGATCCAACTTCTGATAACTCATAGCAGCTATGGCATGTCTACATGGAATGCCCACAAGTTCCTAAAAACAGCATGTACATGTTTTTTTTACTAAGATCAACAATGAATTGATGACCACCAAATGTATGGTTTACTTGTCATATCATGCCAATGCTCCATGTAGGAACCCACTGACAACTCATCAGCACCTCCTTGTCTAACCTCTTCCTAGGCATAGGCATTATCTTATGTTTCCACTTGTCTAATTTGGTTAAGTTTACAATTATCCTGTTCATAATATAATTTCTAATCCATTCACACATAGTGATAATTGGTTTATCTCTAGCCTGCAATATAGTAATGTTGAAAGACTCACTAATGTTATTCACCAGAACATCACACTTTGGATAGAAACTAAAAGCATGCTTACACCATAATTTTGTTGGAACACCTATTAGCCATTCTCATGCCTTCTTATCCAACTGCCTTAGCCATTCCCAGGCCTTCTTATCCACTTGTCTAATTTGGTTAAGTTTACAGTTATCCTATTCATAATATAATTTCTAATCCATTCACACATAGTGATAATTGGTTTATCTCTAGCCTATAATATAGTAATGTTGAAAGACTCACTAATGTTATTCACCAGAACATCACACTTTGGATAGAAACTAAAAGCATGCTTACACCATAATTTTGTTGGAACACCTATTAGCCATTCCCAGGCCTTCTTATCCAACTGCCTTAACTCAGACATCTTCTTCTCCCAAGCTTGATAGTAGGTTGCTTTTGTAGCTCTCGTCATAAGATCCCTGATTGCACTGCCTCCACCAAATTATTTTTTTGGAATTAGCATACAAGTGTCTTAAACATATTCTATGCTCAATGAACTCAAACATCTCTTCAAACACAGCCACAAGACCCTGTAAATATGAAATGCAAATTGTGAGCAGACAATTAATTCCAAATAATATAAATATGGAACTACTAAACTTTATTCATACCTTTTGTTGGTCTGATATGAATACATATCTCCTGTGCTGCCCAATATCTTCCATAAGCAGTTGTAAGAACCACCTCCAGCTTTCCTTTATCTATTTTTCCACAACACCAAATGCTAAAGGAAATTACTAGTCATTAGGATCCCTAGCCACAACAATAAGTAATTGACCATCATGCTTTGTCTTCAAGTGACACCCATCCACACCAATAAAGGGTCTGCAACCATTAACAAACCCTTTCTTGCACCCATCAAAACAAAAGTGGAAACTACCAAACCTTAGTGGTATTGTTGGAATTGGTCTTTCAACATTAATTTTCATTGTATTCCTAATACTTTGCTTCCTAAGTTCTGCAGCATAACTCCACAATAAAGAATATTGCTTAGTTGAGTTACCTTCAATAATTTCCTTAGTGCTTGGCCCTCCATGCTCTTCCTTTGGTATCCTAACTAAATATTTGGTCCTAAGTTCAGCCATTAGAACCGAGACTTTAACCTTTTCACTTGACTGCCTCTTTTCAACTGCAATCTTGGACACCCACTTTGAGTTGGCTGACTTGTTATCCAAAACCATAACACAACTATGTAACCTCACCCAAGTCTTTATTTTAAAAGTTTATTTGTTACCCACTTTACTAAAAAGTGCCAAAAAAACCACATTTGCCTCTACACTCCACCCTTACCCTACAACTTTCATTTTTTACAAACCTAATCTCTCTACCATTTAAAACAGACCATTCTCTTATGGCATCCTTAAACTCAACAAGAGAGTTAAACTTCATACCTAGTTTGAACTCAAAGTCTTTGTTGAGCAAATCCACTCTAAACTTCGTATGTTTGGGCATCCTTTCATTATCACTATTATCTGGGTCAGAGCTACCCAGCTCCTCACTTTCATAAGCACCATCTTGTTCTACACCCTTTGATGAACTTGGATTCCCACGTATGACCATTGAAGGAACTACCAACCTGATTTTTTTTTGGAGACATTACAGTTGATAAATCTTCGTTAGCTTTTAATTTGTACCTATATTTCTTACCACTAATTTCAATCCTATTACCTTGTTCTGGTTTATCAACCTCCACAATCACAAAGCCTTCGTTTTTCTCATTACTTTTTCTTTCTCACTATCTTCAAATCTGATCCCTAAAGAATCATCATCACTACTATGCTCAATATCTTCACCAACATCTACATAATTTGGAGTGATATCCCTCTTTGAATTACCTGAAACATTGCGCTCCACCCATATATGTCCATCAACATTATGAGAGATAAAATGCTTGGAAATTTCTATAACGTGTGAATCATCAGTCAGGTGGAAGAAACCTTCATCAATACCTTCAATCTTTCTCCATAGTTGGACACCACTACCATCAAAA